CGCAACCGCTGCAACAACAGTATCAACACCAACAACTCCAGGCCTACCCCAGCCAGCACTACCACCAGTCGGCCGCGCCCCAGAGATACCAACAGCTCGCGAGCATCCCGGGGGCCGCGCCTGAATACAATGCCCATCGGCTGAAAGCAGCCCAAAAGCTGGAGGGCCGCACGTGGGAGAAGGACGGCCAAGCGGCCTTGTACCTAATGCGAGGCGCTACCTTCTCGCCTATCGTCATGACGGGGGGCGAGCTAGACAACATCATTCGGGACGTGGCCCACCCGCACCCGGGCCTGCACGCGCTGCTTACCTTCAGCGCCATCGACATCGCGGCGTTCTCGCCGCCGCGCCCCACGGGGGTAGCGGCGGTGACACGCCCGTTTGACGTGCACCTCGACACCTTCATTCGCGTCCTGGAAGTCTTCATCAAGGACGGCATGGCGGGCGCCTCTCCGGCCGGGGCCGACCGAGTTGGCCTGTTTTTCCGGGAACTGTTCAGGATCTCCGAGGACCTCCGCCGGTACTCGTCCCGCCACTGCGCCGAGTTCAAGGGCCGCGAGGCCGACGTCTTCGCCAGGTTCAAGCAAGACGCCAACCTCGATTGGGCCGATTTCGTCAGTCGTCTGACCACCGAAGCTAGGGCGCTCCGGCAGTGCAACACCCTGGCCCCCCTACCCCCCAATACGGTGGGGGCGATCCAAGTTCCGCAGTTCTCGAGGACGTTGGTCCTGATTGCGGAGGGTACGGCTTCTTCGATGGTGGGTCTCCTGCAGGGGGGTCTAGCCCGTCAACAACAGTCAAAACCGTCGTCCGCGAGCACCAAGTGCAAGGCGACTTCGCAGGGTCATCCTGCACGCGGCCCCGTGGCCCCAGTCTCATCCGCTTCCACGGCAGCCGCCACCGCGTTTGCACCGACCGTCGCCGCCTGGAACACTCCCAACAATGAGTGCTTCTACACGTGGTCGGGCACGACCTGCACACGCCCGCAGTGCGAGAAGGGGCACACCCAGCGGCACCCGTCACTCTTGCCTGCTGTTCCTCCCCCCCCCCCCCCTCCGCCCGCTCCGCCCGCTCGTGCCCCCCCTGCCCCGAGAGCGACACAAGCACCAGTCGCGAGGTACAGCCACGGAGGCGGCCGAGGAGGAGGAGCAGCGGGAGGAGGAGGAGGTGGAGGGAGTGCGGGAGGAGGCCGTGGCGGTACCAATCCGCGACGGTGCGGGTCCCACTTTCACGAGTAGGGACCGACAAGGGGGGGTGGCGAGCTTGGCACGGGAGCGAACGCCTTCGCTGACAGCAGAAGGACAGTAGCGAGCGTGGGAGTTCCCCTTCCCGGGTCGGTGGCACCCGCTGTGTTTTACGGTGAGAGCATGAGTTGCGAACCTGTAATTTCCCATACTGTTAACTGTTTGGATTCGTTTTCGCCTTGCATAGTGGCGGACACCACTCACGCCGAAACGTCACAAACAGCAGCTACGGGGGCGGACACCCTCGGCGCTAAGTACGGGTCAAATAACACACAAGCGGAGGACACCGCACGGGTGATAGATAAGTCAAAACTATTGGCGGACACCAATTGTGCGAATACTGACACACACCGGGCGGACACCCGGTGTGAACAAGCATTACCCTCACTCTCGCAAACGGTGGACGCCGTTCCCGCGAAAAATCCATTAAGGGAATACTTATTGGCGGACACCAATAGCGGGATCAATTACTGCTCTGCCTTGTACACCACGAAGACTGTGGCGGACACCACACGTGCTGAACACTGCAACGCAGTCGCCTCCGGGGCGGACACCCCGGGCGAATGTAATTGGCCCCGCGGCACGCAAGCGGTGGACGCCGCGAGCGTTGTCGGTAAACAAAAAATACTGGCGGACACCAGTAGTGTGCAGAAGGACATACACAGGGCGGACACCCTGCGTAAGAATTTGTCAGTCACACAGCCCCGATTGGCGGACACCATTCGCGGGAACGACACGAAATTGGCGGACACCATGACCGTGTCAAAAGCTCTCCCGGGGGCGGACACCCCGGGGGAAGCACTGTTGGCACGTAGGGCACTAGCGGCGGACACTGCTAGGGCCGCTGACATCACAAAAGTAATGCGACATGATTGCGGGTCGAATTCAGCGACTTCTCACTTTGGGGCGGGGAAAGAACCTTCGGCCCTAGAGAGTCCAAAAAATACAACCTTGTCGAAAAGTTCAAAAACTCTGACTGATAGACTCGAGGTACAGAGAAGCATACTCGCGTCAAGCATACACTCACTAGACGAGAAGCAATGTATCATTCGGAAAATGGCGGACATTGGTAGTGATCTGGTAAAGCTCCACGATGGAAGGCTGGGAGACGTCGCGAGGGGAATCGGCGGCACTTTGGTGTCACCGCCGTTGGACGTGAGCGACGTCAAGCAGTATTTCGGAGAGGAGAAGGGCTTCCCGGGTATCGATGACCTCATCGAGATAGTCGGTGAAGGAGCCCCGGCCCCCACTCTAGACTCGCAGCAAAACCTTAAGAAAGCCTTGGCATACGGCAACCACCGTAGCGTAGACGACCACCAAACACAAGTGTGGGAAAAACTATGCGAAGATGTCAAGCGTAACAGGTGTATCGTCCTGAGAAAGGCGAACGCGTCGGACGTACGTGGGATCAGAGTAGCCCCGTTGGGAGCGGTCCCAGGGAAAAAAGTGAGGATCATCAACGACTTCTCGTTTGACCCAAGCAATAGTAAGGGGTCAAAAGGTGGGCTCAACAAAGATACCATTATGTCTGGAGTTCCACGGTGCCTGTGCGGCGAAGCACTACCAGCTTTCCTCGAGGAGCTCACTAGCCTACGAGTAAGATGGCCCGACAAGAGAATTCTCGCAGCCAAGGCTGATGTCACCTCTGCGTTCAGAAATGTGAGGATATCACCAGATCATGCACACAACTTTTGCTACGTGATAGGAGACGTGCTAGCAGCGGATCTACGGCTGACCTTTGGCTGGGCAGCGTCACCAGGATTGTGGGGTGAGTTAGCCTCCGCTGCAGAGCACTCGAACCGCAACACGTCCCTCGCGAACGCTCGACTACTACCAGAAGGAATCGCAATGATGTCTCACGTGAAAATAAAACCTCCGTGGGAAAAAGGCACCCCAACCTCAATACCCTCGTCGGCAAGCGTTAGACCGCATTGAGGCGGAGGACCCGCGGACGATTTCTTGGCCAGGGTCTACGTTGACGATTTCTTGCTCACGAAGGTCCAGCATGACCCCACTGACCAATCGGCACTCATTGCTTCCGCCTCGCTAGCGTCAGACCATGTCAGCCTGTTTGGCAAGGGAGAAGTCGGAGAAACCCCCATTATCGCCCCGAAAAAGAGCACTGACTGGGACACGGTCATAGAGGCGCTGGGGTACATCATAGACACGCATGATGGCAGAATCGCAACTACACCGGAACGGGTAAGCGCGATTCGGAACGTACTGGAGGCGGATTGGCCCCACGATAGGAAGAAGGCCAGTGTTCAAGAAGTCCTCAGCATTGCAGGAAAACTAACTGTGGAACCTCTCTAATGTTATCAGGGCCGGTAGGTAATCCGTGTGGCAACTGCTCCGCCTATCGGGTCTGCATACGCAAACCAGTCGACACACACGGTCACGACGACTAGTGCACTTGGGTAGAGCGTTCCACGGCAATATCGCCTTCTGGATGTGGGCCCTCAATCAGCCACTGGCACTTCGAGGGGAGTCTGACAGCGCATCATTCATACTCCACGTAAAACGAGCACCCTCACGCCTTTACCTCGCAGACGCTAGCTTCACAGCGATTGGCGGCTACTGTCCCGAACTAGAGACTTTCTGGAGATACACGATCGAATCATCGTTGTCTGCGGAGCTCAAGCGCAAGGCGCAAGAGAAGGAGACGTCAGACATTACGATCAATCTGTTAGAACTCGCGGGCATGTTCATGACGGCGTTGGTAGTCCAAATGATCTTGAAAGACAGACCTGTAGAAGCAGGGCAGTCGGTGTTGATGCGTGGAGACAACGTGTCGGCCGTCAGTTGGACTAACAGGTGTGGGGGGTCGCGCGACAGGCGCGCTAGCCTCATAATGAGACTCATGGGTAGGATGGAATTTTCTTGCGGCTGGTGCCACGTGGCTAAGCACATCCTTGGTCGAATGAACACACTTGCGGACGGGATCTCACGTTGGGAAGAAAATGAGATCGCCGCCAACGTCCAACGTGAAAATGCTCACAAAAGACTAAGGGTGGACACAGCAGGATATTGGAGTAGGGGGACGAGCGTTGCTCAACATTATCCTACAAAAGAAATTGCCGAAAGAAAGTCTGGACGACTCGGTATGGGACATTATGGTCGAAGGAACAGAAAATATCTGACACGGCAGAGGGGGCGGTCGGACACCGCTCTGTGTTCCGGACGATCAACGAATTATCATACGAAATGAGATAGCGAGAAGCTGGAGCGGTGGACACGCCTCACATTCACTGTTTCATTACACCTTCATGAAATGGATAGCCGGGGGAGGCAGAGTTGGTTTGGACGACCAAGTTTTTCCTGTTCTCCCTCCAAGCCAAGTCGGGGCTATCCACGGGTTCGGCATTAACTTGTCGTACCTTGGGAAGGAACCTCGAAATGTGCGCATTCCTCACGCTGTGTATACCCGATGATTGGATATCAGGAACTCAGGGAAAGGATGGCCGGGGAGGCACGAGCGCCGAGGGGGAGCGGTTGGTCAACGCACTCACCTTCGGGTCTTTGGGAAGTGGTACCAACAAGGGGTATCAAAGGGTGTGGAACACTTGGAAGGAGGCTCGAGCAGGGGCGGGTTCGGGCCCGTGGCTCCGCGAGAGCGATGGGGTGGAAAGTGCGGTGCGTGAGCTGTCTGTGTTCATGGCTTGCCGGTGTTTCGGTCACAAGAACCAGAGTCAGACTATCCGCGGGTATCTCTCAGCCATCAAGTACTTCCATAAGATGCACGCAGGATGGGAGTTGCCCACTTCGCATTTCCAGATCCTTGCCATGTTGAAAACCATTGATAGGGTCCACGCCAATACGCAGGCGAAGCCTAAGGTTAGGAATCCCCTTTCATGGAACATGCTAGAGGCTGGAAAGTGCGTGGTCGAAAATTCGGGAGAATCAGGGAAGTTGATCTGGTGTGGACTTGCCCTCTCGTACTTGCTGATGTGCCGAGCTTCAGAAATATGGGCGGACGACTCGGGGCTCGTGCACTCGGATTTTTGTCCGACAAGAGGAGACCTGGGTTTCTCTTGCGGTCCGGTAAGGGTTGCATGGGTAGACCGGAGGCAGGCTAGCTAAGTGGAAGTCACGTTCAGAGCGTCAAAAGCAGATCAAAAACGTTTGGGAGCAACCGTCACAAGATCGGGAGTAGCGTTGAAGGTGTTACTCGATCTGTTAGATCTGCACCCCGAGCTTGGGAGTCATGCGCCGTTGATGCAATCGTGGGCACAAGACAAGTGGAAGGTTATTTCGAGGGCAGAGGCATCGAGACACCTCAGGTTACTCGTGAGTGCGGTGGGTAGAGACCCACAGAAGTATGCGTTGCATTCAAGAAGGATCGGGGGGGCCACGCACCTAGCAAGTATGGGGGCGTCGGTAATTCAGATCCAGAGAGCCGGAAGGTGGAAATCATCGGCTTTCATGGTGTACGTTAGGGCGGGGGGTGAAGGAGCAAAGTTTGTGTCTCAGGCCCTTACGGAACCCGAGGAGTGACCTGGGAGCGGTTCGGAGGAGTAGGTCATCGGACATGCCTAATGGAGTAAGATATGTTTAGGCCAGAGGCCGAAACAATAGTAATGATAGTAGGGCAATCTTGAGAAGTTTGCAACGGGTTAGTCCGATAAGTAAACGTTGTGAGCAAGACGACATTTACCTGCGCTCCTAATTTGTTTCATGTGTCTTGGTTTTTCTTTGGTTGCCTGCAGAAAAAATAATCCATAATTCTTGAGCAAACCTAAACGTGAAGATTCAGTACGTATTTGAATCTGTGCTTTGTGGAGGCGTGTTGGAAATCGGAAAAGCGGGGATCGAAGAAAAATAGACAGCCCTGGTGTCATAAAGTTTTTGTGCTCTCGCTGGGCGAGAGACAAGCAAGTGCATTTGAGAGAAGAAGAGGAGTAGCAGAGATAGCAGCTATGAGAAGCAGCAAACACGGAGTGCCGCCTAGGATTTGATCGATTTTCCCGCCCACCCACACCTATCGCTCAAGAGAGGGGGGAGCATGGGGGGTCTAGTCGGTCGACGACTAAGAGGTACCGTTTAGGTAGTTTATTATGAGTAAGATATGTTGAGGCCAGAGGCCGAAACAATAGTTATGATAGTAGGGCAATCTTGGGAAGTTTGCAACGGGTTAGTCCGATAAGTAAACGTTGTGAGCAAGACGGCATTTTACCTGCGCTCCCAATTTGTTTCATGTGTCTTGGTTTTTCTTTGGTTGCCTGCAGAAAAAAAAATCCATAATTCTTGAGCAAACATAAAGTGAAAGATTGAACGACAAATATCTGAGCTTTGTGGCGCGGGATTGAAATGTACAGTGGCAAAGTAAACAAGAAAATTCGTGGAAGCTTCATCGGGGGGTGAATAAGCTACGTACGGCGATGATGACGTAGTGGAGTACAGCTTGAGCAGCAGCAGCAAGAAGCAATAAGAGTGCACACTGCAGCTGCAACTGTGAAACGGAGGGGTAATCTGCCGTTGTGGTCACCCCGTGCTAAGAAAAGGTCAGGGGTGAATTTCGGCTGGGTGAATACACGGAATACTCCAAACTGTTGTAAATACACCAACAATTGAGGTCGGCACAGACCAGTTTGCATATCAGGTCGGGACACGCAGACCTGTTTGGTAGAGGTTCACCCCGTGATTGAACCTATCCCCCTGAAGAACCTACCACCGCAGTGCTCCATTGAAAGTTATTAATCGGACTTAGAACATTGAAATGTCGAAAACGCCACTGATTGGACAGCGGACCCACCTTTGGTCCGCGAGCGGAGTTTCGATATGGACGATTAATTGTGTTCCCCAAGCCAAAAGCCACGTGCGAAGAAAATATATTAAAAATTAACTAGAATAATTATCGAACTCGAGACCGAAGCAAGCTTGAACGGCAATATCATCAAGCTGAGCTTGCCAGCGGCTGCGGCCTGTGAAGCGTCCACGGCTCAGCGGAGGAGGGCGAAGCAAGGTGGGGCACTCCTGAGCGCGGAGGCGAGCACAGCGCTGGCTGTGCACCGCAAACAAGTTAAATACATGCAGGCGCTCTCCAGCGCGCCCGCTCCTGCCCAGACCCTGCCGGCGGCCGAGGGAAACACAGTGCCGGCCGCCCCTGCTACTGCATCGGGGGCCAACTCCCCCCGCGTGACCGCTGCAGTCACCGCCGGTTTCCAGCTTCAGAAGGGCGATTTCCCGCAGCTGCCACAGATGAAGGGGAAGACCGCCTCGCCGGGGCGCCGTTCGCCCACGCCGCCGGAGCTCATCACCGTGGGGTACGTAACTTCGGCGGAGGCGAGGGAGAGGGCCGGAGGCGCACCTGCTTTCGACACCCCGGCGGTGGCTACCGCCGACGCCGCCGCCGCGGTCGGGGTGGTGCCACCGCCGCTTCGCGCACTCCGTATGACCGACTCAGAGAAGGCGCAACTGCTCGCACAGCAGCAGGAAGAACTGCGGGGGTGGCACGAGCGCGACTTTGAGGACAGAGCGGCGGCGGCAACGGCTGAAGGAGACGGCGCGGGAGGGGTAATGGCGCCGCCCACTGCCAGGAAGGTGCATACAGCGGCTGAGAGGGCCGTCCAAACGTGCCCAAGCAGTGGAGGTAGAGGCACCCGGTTCATTGTGGGTCGCCCGTGCGCAGCAGTACAGAAAGCACAACGCGGGGGTCACGCTGGACGAAGCGGTCCACCGGGTGTGGGAGTCGTATGTTACCAGCTTCTACCTGTACCACCCCGATACAGCCCCCGCCCCGCCCAGCGACCCACCTGCGTGGTACCTCGGGGCGGTAGCGGCGTCGGCAACGTCGCCACGGCACCCATGGGCTCACATCGAGGCGGCGTCGCCGGGACCGCCGCCGCCGGAGATGACAGCGGCACCGCAGCCCCCTGCACCGGTTACCGTAGTCGCCAGTCCCGCACCACGGCGCTATCAACACTTACGCCACGGAGCTCCGTCATCATCGTCGCCGCAGGGGTCCCCCCCGGTCGCCGGAACAGCGCCGCTGCTACACCTGGCCACAGCACCGCCGTCGCCGCCGCCACATCACACCGGCGATATCAGCACACCCGCCACGGTCCACCGCGCTCACCGCCGTTGCCCTTGCTCGCGACCACCACCGTCGCCCTAGACGCCCGTTGCCCCACCGTCAGCACCACCCCCTACCACGGCCGCCGCGCCACCGCCGTTGCACCCACCAACACCACCCACCGATCCACAACCGCCGCTCCCGTCAACAACGGCCACCGCCCCAACCCTGCCTCAACCCATCACGGTCACCTCCCCACCGCCGCCCCCGATAACACACAACGCGGCCACATCATCCGCCACCACAACCTGCCCCCCTGTTCTGATCGAGCCCCCGCCCCCATCTACCAACAGTCACGGCCGACGCCGGCGCCGGCGGCCGCGCCGCGCGCCCGCACCGCGACGCCGCCAGCAGCACAACCAAGGTACCACGTCCGCCACACCAACATCCCGTCCTGGCCGGCCACCTCCGCAGCGCTAGAGGCCGACCCATCGCGGGTGCACGACTCATCAGCACAATGGGCCGCCGCCGCCGAGATCGACGCCACAAGATCTCGGAGGCCTTCCTCTTCCCCACCCACCACCGCCGCGTCCGCGTCAGCGCCGGTGGCGGTCGCCGCTCCGTCACGGNGCCGGATAGGATGCATGCGACCCCGCCTGTTGCCCCCGCGCCGGTGTCGGTGGCCGCCGCTGCCCCCTCCCAGGTTCCACCGTCAGCCCCGGCCGCCGCTGCTGAACCGGGGCAGGGTCTGTACCCTCCCGGGGCCGCCGGCTACGCCCACCGCTATCCCCTCGTAGACCCCAGCCCCGTAGTGCCTCAACACCTATGACAGCCCGCCTGCTGCCACCCATGGAGCTCTTGCCGTTCGAGGATCTCCGGAGCTGGACCGCCGCCGTCAACATGGTGCGTTCCCTGGAGAACGCTGCAGCCATCATCAAGGACGGGTGTGGGGACACCGACACACAACACTGGCGGCGCCAGTGGACAGCGCCGTTGTTGAGACATCTAGTGAAACACGTAAGTAAAGACGAAAATGCACAGCGAGTCATAGGGGAGTTGACAGCGATGTTTACGGGCTCAACGAGCGTTTGGCGCCGCCGGACGGCATTTCGGGGCCGGTAGCGTTGCAAGAACCCACAGACAGCATGTTGAAAATGATTTCCCAGATTCAAGTCTCACGCATTTCCACCATGCTGCAGCAGTTCAACGTCCCTGAGGGCACCCCTTTTAAGACGTGGTTCGCAGAAATCAGGCGATTGATCGAGGGCCTTCGCTGTTTTGGGGACCGGTGCCCAGAAGAATCGGCTCTGATCGCGTGCGCCACCGAATGCCTCAGCATCCAATTCCCCACGGTAGCGATGAACTTTGCCGACAAGCTGGCTAAGACCACCACTTCCCGAGGGTTCTTTGCCCTGTTCAAAGGCCACACGTCCAGCGCCATCCCCGCACAAGCGCCAACCCACGTAGGACCAGCCCCTGCTAGACACTCTTTCCCCACACAGAGCAAATCACAGCAGCCGCGAGTCATGATGGTGCACGGTGGGACATGTGACGTGCTAGATAACGGCACAACCTACGACCCGGTAGACGAGGATGATTGGCAGGAGATGATGGAGGTGAAAGCACGACCACCCGCGGGCAAACAGACCAGAGGCATTGGGCTGTTCCAATACTCCTTCAACTCACAAGAGGCCAAAGAGGGTAGGGAGAAGTGGGGCCGGGTGTGTTATAACTGCAAGTCAGAGGAGCACTACCTCCGCAACTGCGACCAGTCATACACAAACGCGTGTGCACAATTCAACAAAGCATTTGGAGAAGGCACCTCGAAGGAGGTTGAGGAACGTTGGCGCGACGTGTTGGCAACGCTCCTGAAAAACTATCAGCGTGCTAGGGTCCGTAGGGAAGAGGCCGAAAAATCTAATTTTTCGAGCCATGAGCACCTCATCGCAGGGGGCTACAACCTCCCGGCGGCGGCAGCATCGGTACCAGTAATGGGTAAGGGAGGCAGCCCCCGTGACAGGGGGCCGTCGACATCCGCAACACCAACCGATAAACGTGTTCAAAATAGGAACAAAAGCAGCAGAGAGAGTAGCAGCAGTAGGGAGGATCTACATGTAGAGCAAATCCCGGAGGTGCAGCGAGTACCCATCTGGAGCGAAATCCCGGAGGTGCAGCGAGTACCCATCCGGAGCGAAATCGTGGAGGTGCAGCGAGTACCCATCCGGAGCGAAATCCCGGAGGTGCAGCGAGTACCCACCCGGAGCGAAATTCTGGAGGTGCAGCGAGTATCCGTCCAGAGCGATAACCAGAAACAGAGCGGGGTAAAGATCGGGAGTCATGACCCGACACCAAAACCCAACTAATCTCAGAAAGAAACAGAACCGAAGAGACATAGTACAGGGCAAAGGACACGCCCGCTCCCCCGCAAGCACGAGTGGAGTACCCAGAACAGCGTAGTCCAGGAAGGAATTGAGGTCAAGCCCACAGATACAGCTAGGCCGCTTCCGAACAGCGGGAAGGGGGGGGCAGTCGATCAGATCGGCCCTTCCCCAACGCATGGTATAGTCTCTGCCAATTTGTCAGAGGTAACCGGCTCCCCAACAGCAGCTGTTGACACAGCAGCAGCTACACAGCAGTCAGTCGCGGCGGTCGCAGGAGTACCGGCAGCAGCGGCACAGCAGTGCACACAGAGTAGAAAGGAAGTGGTAGAGACTTCGACAACTATCCCAGAGAGCGGTGTAGGAGCGGAACAGCTTCCGTCGCCTACATCAAGGGCCCCTCTGACCCAGATATATTTAGTAGAGGGGGGGCACACGGAACGGAGAAAGACTACAAACAAGAGCCATAGGGCAAGGGTACGCGGACGGAAGGGGGTAGATGTCATGAGTGTGAAGGATGAAGTTGCTCCGAGCCTGAGCGTGTGGGACAAACAGCGGACGGGCAGAGTTGCACACGATACTTTGGGGAGGGAGCTACCGAGTAGTTTTCTGAAGGAAGTCATTGACTTCAAGGCAGGGGAGGTATGTTTGAGTGCTAGCCGTCAGACCGCGAAGGTGAGTGTGTTTGCAGGGGCACATGCCCGAGTAGCGCAGCCAGCAGTGGCGTTAGTTGACACCGGGTCACCCCAATCATTTGTGGCCGAGAAGGTAGTCAAGCGCATGCTTGAATGCGGGGCAGCCTCGAAATCAGGCATCCGCACTGCCAAAACACGTAGATGGAGTGGGTTTGGAGGCACACCATTGGCAACGAATGGCATGGTGCGACTCAATGTACAGTTTTTCGATCGTGCGTCACAACCCACAGCAAAGCTTGCAGTGAACGCGTATGTAGTACCAGAGGGGGTGATGAGCCACGAGGTTCTCCTCGGTACAGACAGTTGGGGCGCGTTTCCCTGTGAGGGAGCATAGTGATGAAAGGGAGGGTGAGACCACTCTTTGATTGAAAACCTCCCTACCTCCTACCCAAACACCTACGGTTGGCCAGGATGCTGAGCCGGAGATGGTAGCGTACATCGAGTCACCAGACCATGATGGCAGCGAGCATCGTTTGATTTTTGATTCCACGAAAGACGTGCAATACTTGACAGACCAGAGGTATTGGGTCCCTATCCGAGTGGAGACGTCGGAGGGACAAGTAGTCAAGGAAGGAAATTTTTTTGCAAGGTTTTCAGAGAACTGGACCTCGCCGGAAATGGTGGTAGAAGCAGGAGGGGTAGCATTGCCCCTTTCTGTGCGTACAGCGTTGGGTTTACGGGCGGGTAACGTCATCAGCAGCAATGTAACACCTTTGTGTGAAACACCGCTGACGGATTTTGTCGTTACCCCGGAGCCCACAGTGTCGTTATACACAGTAGAGGAGGAAGAAGCAACCGCCGACACCTCCACTAACCCAACCTCACCCTCCTCCCCCAGCCCCGACTCCCCTCCCGCGGAGTTGCTTGCCGGCATGAAGCCGGAGTGCCAGGAGGCATTCTGCAGGCTATGGGCACGGGTACCGGCACATGTACGTGAAGTTAATTTTGGGTTGGGGCATGACGCTTGGACGGCCAAGGACATCGATAGCCTAGCGGATGTATTAGTGGAGCATGCAGATCGGTTTTCGGCGCATAAGACCGATCTAGGGCATTGCACCGCCTTGCCGTTTCGCATTGACCTGAAGCCAGGTACGCGACCGGTAAAGCAGCGCCCGTATCGGCGGAGTCCAGTAATAAACCGAAAAATCAAGATAGAAATTGATCGGTTGGTTAGCGTTGGGATTTTGCGGAAGTCCACCTCAAATTGGGCGTCGCCGCTGGTAGCTGTGTTGAAGAAGGATGGTAGCTTGAGGTTGACATGCAACTTTAAACGGTTGAATGAGGCGACAATCGTTCCCGTCTTCCCCATGCCCTTAGTCAGTGATCTCATCTCGGCGCTGGGAGGGAGCAAAGTCTTCTCGGTCCTCGACCTGATGAGCGGGTACTTCCAGGCCGCCATCGACGAGTCGAGCATCCCCCTGACGGCCGTCTGCACGTCATTCGGGTTGTTCGAATGGACGAGGACCCCACAAGGGTGCTCGGGAAGCCCGGCAAACTTCCAGTCGCTGATGGCCAAGGTGTGTGATGGGTTGAGAAAGATTCAGGTGTATCTCGATGATGTGATTGTGCCGTCGCTTACGGCCGCTGAACATGTGGTACAGTTGAGGGAATTGCTGGTACGGTTCAAGGAATTTGACCTCAAGCTGTCTCCCAAGAAGGCCCACATTGGCTCGGCAGAGGTTACGTTTCTGGGGCACTTGATCACCCCTTTTGGCCTGCACCCTGATCCCAAAAAGACAGACGCAATGGCCAAGATGAAAATGCCCAAAACTAAGAGTGAGTTAAGGTCCATGTTAGGTTCGGTATCGTACCTAAGGAAATTTCTCCCCAATTTAGCGAGGAATATCACGGACCTGACAGCCCTTCTCAAGAAGGATGTACACTTTAAGTTTACGGCACACCACGAACAGCTGACTAAAGCGGTGTTGGCGCAGCTAGCGAGCTATGAGGTGTTGGCTTTCCCCGACTACGACGCCGCCATCGATGGCACCCGTAAATTCCGACTCACGACCGATGCCAGTATTTCTGGTTTTGGTGCGGTATTGGAACAACCGCAGGAGGATGGGACCGTCCGTCCTCTAGTGTACATTAGTAGATCGACCCTACCGAACGAAGCGAACTGGGATGTCAGCTCGCTGGAGTGTGGGGCGTTGGTGTGGGCCATTAGGAAGTTACGTGTTTATTTATATGGCATTCCATTTGAAGCGTTCACCGACCATCAGCCGCTTCTCTCATTTATTTCTATGGGTGAAAAGAAACCACGCGTTCAACGCATGTGTGATTTCTTATCGGCATACTCGTTCACCCTGTCCTATCGCAAGGGCAAAGAGAACCAAGTTGCGGATGCTTTGTCCCGTCTACCACAGCCGCCCACGGCAGCCGATTTTGACAAATGCAAGTTGATAGAGGACGGAGACCTCGAAGTTTACTTTCTTGGGTCTCGCAGAAGAGCGACGCGGAAGCTAGGCTCCGACTCAAATGCATTCATTAGTGACCCGACCGAGAACCGTTTTTTGAGACCAGTAACGTTGTGTACCACGGAGGAGGTTAAGGCTCGTGAGTGGGCTGGCGTTCAGTCGGAGTTGACTAGGATATCTCTTCACCGTCCGAGTCCATCGGTTCTAGCCATTAACCCATCGCCCTCTCGCCCTCCCCACTGCCCCCATAGTCCGGTGTCTTCCGTCGGTCTGCAACCGTTCAGTGGACAGTATCAGCCGGGGCTAATACTCCATGGGCATCCGATCGGCGCCACAGCAACCGAGAGGGACGTCGCGGGCCTCCTGGTGGATGTAGGGGTGGTCACCAGGTCGTCGCGCCCATCGACACGGTCCACCACGGCGGCGGCAGCGCGGAGGCCGCGTCGGGCGCGGGATGTAGGGGTTGAGGAATCGCCGACACCGGGGAGGGTGGCCACCGCCCACGGGGACGCGGCGCTGGCGCCGGCGGGGGGCCAGCCCTCCCGCCCGCAGGGAACACCGGCGGCGCGCACACCTGCGGCGAGGGGGAGGGGGGCACATCCGTCGGCAGTGGGGTACAAGCAACGGTCGCGGCTCTCCCCTACAAGCGCAGGACGGCAACGGTGGCCGCGAGAGACGAATGACCGCACGCCGACGACCCCGCCGCCGCCCCCACCTCAACAGCCCCCGGCCAGCGAAGAACGGCAGCGGCGGCCGCGAGATAGGCACCACAGCACGCCGACGACCCCGCCGCCGCCCCCACCTCAACAGCCCCTGGCCAGCAAAGGCCGGCAGCGGCGGCCGTGAGAACCGCGCGACAGCACGAAGACGACTCCGCAGCCAATCCCACCACGACACAGCCCGGCCAGCGGAGGACGGCCGCGGCGGCCGCAAGAGAGGCAAGACGACACCCCAACGATCCCGCAGCCGCCGCACCAACTGCGCCCCCCCCTCCCAGCTGCGGACGCCGGTCACCATCACCGCGGCGCTCCCGGAGTAGAACACCTCGGCGGCGTGCCCCCCGGGCGGGAACAATCCCGGTGCCAGAATCTCAAGCGGCAGCAGCTAGCCGCTACGGGGAGAAGTTTAACCACAAGACGGACCTCGAGTGGGCCGCGGCGCAGGCAGATGATCCCCTGGCTGCGACGGTGATCAAGTATGTTTCTGGATTGAGTGAGGGGGGAGAGTATGAGTTTACATCCGTGATGGGCAATGAGGGAGAAATTGATTTGGCTCGAGTGAAGGCTGTGGCTAGTAAGTGTGAAGTGCTGTGGCTGCCTGACAATTCGACCCTGTTGGTACGGAAACCCACCGAAAAACCCCGTCGGATGGCAGACCAGAACAGTGGGAAGTTTGAGAGGTTGTTAGGGGATGAACCCCATCGGGTGTACGTACCTTTTCTGTTGAGACCATGGGCCCTGGACGTGGTACACAAGGAGAGTGCGCATTGGGGGAAAAAGCAATTCTGGCTTCCTTGGAGCGTTACTACTTTTGGATGGGTATGTCTGAAAGCGTGCGGTGGTTTGTGTGACATTGCATACCGTGCCAAGCTTCCAAAACCTCCAGACGTGCTCACCGCTGGCCTATGGTGTCGTTACCGCTGCCTTCCCGGCCTGGGGAGATGGTGGCTTTCGACATCCTAGGTCCCTTGCCAAAATCTAAGCGGGGGAACGTGTATATTCTGTTGGTGGTCGATCTTTTTAGCCGACATGTCGAACCCTACGCGTTGACCAGTGAAGAGAAAACAGCACAGGGTTGTGCCACGAAGCTTGCGGATGATTGTGTCGTTCGATGGGGTTGTCCGAAGTATCTTTTGTCGGATAGAGGGGCAGAGTTCACAGCTCGGGTAGCCAAGGATGTATACAGGATGCTCGGGGCCAAGAAGCGGTACACGAGTTCTTTTCATCTGCACACCAACGGTTGTGTTGAGCGTCTGAATCACACCGTTTGTCAGATGTTGTCTCACGTCGTCTGTTCTCAGTAGACGGATTGGGATGAATACCTGTTACAAGTCTGTTACTGCCACAACAACCACGTACGCAAAGCCACTGGTCTAGCCGCTTCTGAGATTCACATAGGGAGGTACCCGCGGTTGCCGATGACGATACTGGGGCCTAGGAATGAGGTCAGGGGGTGGCAGAGTACCAAGCAGGACCAGCTTGACTACTTGCAGTTGACTAAAGACCGACAGGCTAGGGCCTACCAACTAGTGGTGGAGAGTGATAGGCTAACGAAGGAGAAGCATCGAGCCAACAACGAGCAGCTAGATAACGCTATCACCAAGCGACCGAATTTCTCCGCTGGGGAGTAGGTGTGGGTGTACGATGTGCAGCATACGTTGGCAACGGCAGGGGGGAGTACTCAACAGCGAGTAAAGGGCAAGTTAGCGAACAAGTGGATGGGTCCTTTTAAGGTGTTGGGAGTGGGTCCGTGCAAGGTGGAGAACCATATAGTAGGTCCCAAACTGTTGTTTCTGGAGTTACCATACGATCAGAAGGGCCGTAGGCGAGTGTCAGTACTGAGGTGTAAGCGTTGTTTCCTCCCGCACGAGAACCACGACATCCCCAAGTATTTGCCGTGGAAGCTATGTGCGTACCTCCTGTATAAGTTTTCGCAGCAAGCGCCCCCTTTCTACCTGACCTCGGAAGATGTTGAGATAGAGCTCGACACGGAGAGGGCACAGCCGTTGCGAGTAGTGACCCACAGGTTTAGCCGAGGACCGGGTGGAACCTTAGCAGTACAGTTTGAGACCGTTTGGAAGGGGCAGAGGAAGACCACTTGGGAAACAGAGCAGAACTTGCAGCAGTACGGGGATATAATTAGACAATACTGGCTAGGGGAGGGGGTAACGCAAGTAGGAGCAGACAATATACAGATCGGCGACTTTCGCAAACTCGCTGCCCTGCGCGCTGCAGCTCGCGAGCGGGCATCCCTGTATGTACCTCCAGGGTATGCCCTCAAAGCCACGTGGGTAGGAGGACCCGAGCATCGCACGGTAGAAATGAAGGGTGCATAGATTTATTTGCGCACCGAGAGGAATGGTTGGCAGTTGGGGTTGATTCACGGGGTGTCGAGGAAAGGAGATGAGCCCAGGCCGTACAACATAGACTTCGTAGACCTAGGCATGAGGTACAACGTAGCGTTGGAACCAGATAAGTATAGTGCGGACGTTAGGGCAGCAGCCTATAGCTGGTGTTTCTTGATGCACATGCAGTTGGGGAGCGTGAAACGTTTAGNTAAGTATAGTGCGGACGTTAGGGCAGCAGCCTATAGCTGGTGTTTCTTGATGCACATGCAGTTGGGGAGCGTGAAACGTTTAGGAGGGCTAATGTAGTGAGGGACCAAAAAAAAAATATATATATAAGGAAAAGAAGCGAAAAGGAAAGAAGAAAACAGGAAAAGAAAAAGAAGGAAGAGAACGAGAGATGAGAAGAGGAGGAAGTCAGAGTGTGTGTGCTCCTCATGTTCATGTGTGTTGTGCTTCCCCGGGGGGATGGAGGTCTTGGCACACAACCACGTGCCGTTGACCTCCCGTCTTTGTTCCTGTGTTTCGTCCGTGTTGTGCTTCCCCGGGCGGGATCGAGGTCTTGGCATACCATCACGTGCCGTTGA